CCCACCCTCCTCCCCTCCAGCAACCCTCAGTTTGTTTCATAGAGTTAAGAGTCTCTTATGGTTTATATCTCTCTCTGATTTTGTCTTATTTTATTTTTTCCTCCCTTCCCCTCTGTTCATCTGTTTTGCTTCTTAAATTCCACATATGAGTGAAATCATATGATAATTGTCTTTCTCTGACTTATTTCACTTAGCATAATACCCTATAGTTCTATTTGCAAATGGCAAATGGCAAAATTTCATTCTTTTTGGTGGCTGAGTAATAGTCCATTGTATATAAATACCATATCTTCTTTATCCATTCATCTGTCAATGGATATCTGGGCTCTTTCCATAGTTCGACTATTGTGGACATCACAGCTATAAACATTGGGGTGCAGGTGCCCTCTTACAGTACTGGTGGGAATGCAAACTAGTGCAGCCACTCTGGAAAACAGTATGGAGGTTCCTCAAAAAGTTAAAAATAGACCTACCCTATGACCCAGAAATTGCACTTCTAGGTATTTACCCCAAAGATACAAATACAGAGTGTGCATTTTTAAACTAACTTCTGAAGTTCAGCTACCCATGTGGCTCTGCACCTATACCCTCTCTCAAAGTGACCTCTTCCAATCCCATAGATTTAAATACCATCTATGTCCTGGCCATGCTTACTTTGTATCTCTGGCCTAGACTGCTCCCCTGAGCTCCAGACTAATTTATCTAACTATGCACAAGGCATCTTCTCATGGGTAACTGAAACTTAACATTTCCAAAACTGAGTTTGTGTTCTATCTCCATGCCCCACTTCCAAACCTGTCTCTCCATCAGCATCTCCTCAGCAATGGTATCAGGGGTCATGAGATATAAACATGTGTGCATCCACATATGTGTGAGAGAGATGCCTTGAATTAGATAATGGCATGATATTTCTCTTTTTCCTTACTGGTGCTTGATCTAACCTTCCCTTACTAAATCATGACATACCCAGGCGAGGACCAGGGCTTATATACATCCTTGCACTCCTAGCATCTAGTGCATAGAAGGTATTGAATGGGATCTTGTTGAATGAAGGAAAGAAAGAAGGAATGTTTCCTGTGAATATTATCTCTTTCTACTGGAGGTAGTTTCCTTGCTACTTCTTAATTTCTCAGGATGTTTTCCAAACTCCTCTAACTGGCCATTTTTCTTCTCCCCATGGCTCTAAACTAAAGGGTGGGATATTAATGAAATGACTATGTTTCAAAAAATCATTTTCATTTATCTTCACTTTGTCACTTGTGCACTTGGATTTATGTGGAAAGGAATACTTAATAATGAGGAAAAACCTATTTAGAAACAGTAGCATAATCATTCAGTGGTAGAGAAAAGAGTGATATATGAGCCATATAATTAGCAGTAATCTGTTTCATATTTATTTTTCTGGGCTGAAGTTCAGTTCCTCCTTTAAAAACTGAATGTAAATAATAAGTTACACACACACACACACACACACATACACACACACGACCTATGAATAGACATCCATCATCATCCAAGGGAATTCAGCTAACATTTTTCCCAAGATTATGAAAATAACTTTTAATTGTCTCAAATCAAATCTCAGTTCATTAATAGCTTAATTTTGCTTCATTTTTATTGCTTTGTTTTCTAATATATAAAATTCTTTTCAGTTTAGCTTATATGAACTGATAAAAGAACAATTCAGAAATTATTTATTTAAACCTCAGAATTGATTAGGTAGAATTGACAAGGGAGTCAAGGGATGTGAGTCTTAACTGTATCTGGGATAAATGTTCAGTTTGGCTATGAGTGAATTACTTGACCAGTCTCTCTCTCCCTTTTAAGAAATTGAAGGAAAGCCTCCCTTGCAAGGTTTGCGTAGGAATAAAATGAGGTAACAATGTGAAAGTGCTTCCAAAATTACAAAGCTCTAGAAAATAATAATAAAGCAATGGCTTTATAATTATTATTATAATCGAAATAAGCAAAATGAAGTTATTTTTATCATGCTGAATGATTCAAAACAGCTATACATTTTTGCAGAAAATGCAAGAGATCCCACATTAGAATTTTAGTTGACTTTGTGTTCAGATGATGAACTTGGCTTTTCCACACACATAAATGTGGCATTTAAAAAATGTGCCCTAAGTAGATATTTTAATGTATTCTCTTTAATGTTTTCATATATTCATGGAGAGCTACAAAATGATTTTTCTTCCACTGTATTTACTTTTTGTAAATTTAGCAATTACAGTAATTTCATGAAGAGAGTATATCCTGAGATTATATTCTGCTATAAATCATAGTTTGGTTGAATCTGTGAATCAGTCACATTCCCATATTCCTTGTTGTACAGTTTCCCTCTTTGTCTTGTAGGAAGATGAGAGAAAAAAGAACAAGTAAATGTGAATCTTACAGGAAAGCTAAGTGAGTTTAAAGAATTCCCATTATCACAATTAACATTTCCAGGTGGGAAAGCCACAAAACCTTCCCAGACTCTGAAGTATATCTTTAATATAAACAATAAGATCCATTATTTTTTAGAAAATAGTCTTTCTTTTTTTATAATTTGGAAAACTGTACTATATATTGGAAAATAAATGGCAATCTTTTCCAATGTACAAAAATGCTCAACTGATAAGCTGAGACCATCTCAGATCTACATCTGCAGACATGAATGGGACAGAATGGAGATTTTTGTGGGTATGTGCAGTTTCTCCGTGTTCTGTATGGACACTGTCACCTGTGAGCTCATTCACACTCGCCCTGGCTACATAGCTCTAAGTACCCAGTATAGAGAGAGTTGGATATAATAGGTTACTAAATAGAAAACCAATTCGTGCAAAGAGAACCAGCACTGGTCCATCACATCTTCAGTGTGTACTGACCTGTCTGTTCCCTGGGTGGGTACCTCATTTGCAGTTATCAGCTATGTTGGCTTCAAGAGCCACTTCATCTGCAGGTACTTCTTGCTTCACAGGACAAACAGCTTTTGTCTGGGCCAGGACTAACTGTTCACATTTCACTAGCCATATTCTGAATTAGATAAGTATTGGTTGTGTCCTCCCTCTGGACCATGCATTGTGCTAGACCTAGAGGATTTAACTGTGAATAACAGAAACTTTCCTTGTTTTTAGAGGGCTTACATATAGTCAGAGATCTGCTTGTCCCAAGCTAGAATATAAAACCTCATTTCAGCCTGAATTGCCAGAATGTTTGGTTTTTTAGACCAGTATCAAAGGATGCCCTCCACCATTGTGGATTTGGGCCCAGGACCTCCTCCTTTTGGGAAATTCAGCACTGTCAGAGTCCCTGGGAACTTTGTAGTTGATACCAATTTGATTTTCATAATACCTTGAAGAATTCTTATAAATTAAGTGAAATATTTATAAGCCCAGCAAGAAGACTCTGAATGAAAATATGAGCAATGAATTGCAATTGTACATCATCTGCAATTTAAAAACAATTCCCCGTAGTGCAAATTTACCCCATAAATTTGAGCTTCTATTTTTGCCAGCTGTGTAAAAGTATTGGATTGTTTATAAATACTGTTACAAGGAGAGGTTAGCCACAAAAGCCTAACACATCTGTTGACATTCTTACACTATAAAAATTTAAATGGCATGCAGTCCAGAATGAGCCTGTGTGAAAAAGATATGGATAAATAATAGACCACTTTGCTGGTTTAAGCTGGTTTGGCTCACTGTTTTCTCATTTTTCTTCTACCTCCTTCCACAACCCAGCCCTCCCCCTGGGAAATGACTTCCAAAGAAAATCTAATTGGAGTTGTCCCTTTGGCCAGAGACATAGAGCAAAACTTGTTGGGTAGTTATTGAAATGTAAAGTCCTGGGTGGTTGGGTGGCTCAGTCAGTTAAGTGTCTGCCTTTGGCTCAGGTCATGATCTCCAGGTCCTGGGATCTGGGATCAAGTCCCACATCGGGCTCCCTGCTCAGTGGGGAGTCTGCTTCTCCTTCTCCCTTTGCCCCTCCCCCAGCTTGGGCTGTCTCTTGCTCACTCTTTCTCAAATATATAAATAAAATCTCTTAAAAAAATAAAATATAAAGTCTTGGTTTACTTCCTTGTCTATGTGCTGTGTTAATAAAAATCCCAAGAGGAGGCAAAAGTTTTGGGCCAAAGAACATAGTCCTTTGAAAAAGCCTTCCCTGACACCAACCCAGATTCAAGGCTCACATCACCAAGTCCCCGTATCTCCACCACCACCAATTTTTGCTTTTGCCTGGTTGATGGAGAACATCTCTTCTTCTCTCTGCTTTTGCTGCAGCTCTCCCTTATAATTTTTTCTCCATGCAGCAACCTCAGTGATCTTTGAAAACCTAAATCAATATGACAGTCTAAAGTCAGTTCCTAAAATAAAGTCCAGTTGTCCCATTGGGGCTGGTAAAGCACTGCACATGCTGGCTCCTCTCATCTTTTGAGCCTCTTCTTATGTTAATCTTCATGATAAATACACTCCAGCCACTCTGCTCTCCTTACTGCCCCCGGAACATCAGACATACCAAGCAATTTCCCAGCTTAGGGCCTTTGCACCTAGAACACTCATCCCATGCTCTTACCCAGCCCTGGCTCCTTTGTGTCTCAAATTTGTATGTCCCTTCTACAGAGGGGCCTTTTCTGCACCCCTTGCCCAAAGTAGTGTGTGCCCTCCTCCCTATAACTTCTCCCATTAACTTCGTTATCTTCAGAACATTCATCACCATCTGAATTTATTCCTTTCTTTTAAACTTGTTTTTGCCTATTTCTTTTTTTTTTTTTTTGTATGTTTGCAGAATGTAAATGCCATTCATATCTCTTTTGTTCACAGCTGGGTCTCCAGTGCCTGACACACAGTGGTATATTTTTTGAATGAATGGATGCACACATAAGGACCCAATTTTTTGGTGAAGAATGCCCCAAATCTTAAACTCCATATAGATTCATGTGTTCTAAGTTCCAATTCAATTTAAACCATAGGAGACTTGGATATACTTTTCAATTTAGTTTCTTTTTTCTGTTTCAGTCCTCTCTAATAAATAGTGACATTATCTTTGTGAAGTTGCATGCCCCATGGGAAGTGCTTGGAAGATATGCAGAACAAATGAATGTAAGAATGCCTTTCAGGTAGGTGTAAATATATTTTCCCTACTCTTTGCTGCTTCCCTGTAAACCAATGTGCTCCTCTCTTGAAACAAATAAAACTGAAATGCAGCCTGGGACACTATTAGAGAAGATCCTTTAAAATGTTTAGGAAATGTGTAAGTCTTTGTGATTTCTAATGATTCCATGGCTTTTTGTGAAAATTCCTGGCTAATTCAGTCCTTAGCAGGTAGATTTGTCAAGTGCCTATGAGAAAGAAGCATTTTCCAAGTAGCACTTTCATTTCTAAAATGCCATTTTCAGAAGTCCTGCGTGTTGCTGCTTTGAATGGCCAGACCCCAGGCATCAGTGGTGCAGATCCTTACTGACATTCTAATCTGCTTCCAGTAAAGCAAGTTCAAAAAATTTCATAAAAATGTGATCTATTTTTTAAATTATTTTTAAATTTTAAAAAAGCCAAGTCATAAATACTGTGCAAAAACAAGCATTGATATTTTTTCCAAGGGTAATTAGAAAATACTTTATGAGGATTGCTTAGTTATTTAAAGGATTAATTTACCTTCATTTCATAGTGAATATTCATAGTTTCCATACAGATTAAGGAAAAGTGATCTGTATTTGTTAGATGGAAATAAAATAAAGTATTAAACTTGAAATTATAAATGCCAAGGTATGTGGGAAGTAAATAATGAAATCTTCTAAAGGAGATGGAGGGATTTAGTACCAAGGACAGTTCTAAAGGGACTAAAGAATGAAATACTTTTGATTCACAATTTGCCAATAAGACCAAGTCAGATGACAGAAACCAGGCAAACTGGTGCCAATTCTAAAATATACCTCTTAATGAGCTGTGGAAAATTATAGAGATGGAGAGGCGCTAGGGACACATTTAGAGAAGAGCAATTTCCATTCAGAGTTCTGTAATGTATCTCCGTGGTGCATCTTATTTTCTTTGTTTATTGGCCTTTATGTTCTAATACAAGTCAAAATAGAGGCTGGGATTTCTAGCATCTGTTTACCTCAAGGCAAAATTCCCAAAGGAATTGAGATAAACATAGTTCTAAACTTTTGATTTATTTTTATATTTAAAATGTGACAAAGGCAACCTGAGAACCCAAGGATTAAAAAATATTATATAAAATCACTGAGTCATTTATCAATTTAGTTTCCATTGAAACTTGTTATAATATAATTATAATTAAAGCCGGTTATTTATCAATGCTATAACTGTCCAATATGGATTAATACTATATCACACATCAAGACCAAAAGGAAAAGAAATCTATGCTTAAATAGAGTCATATATCAGACCAGCATCTTATAGCCAACAATCAAAAGTCTGTGTTCTGATAAAAGTGCGATAGTAAAACTTAGTGAAATTGATACATTATCCCTCCCCAGAAATCTCACAAAACTTCACACCTGAACACATTTCTCAAGCAAAGAACCCAAGCAAATTGTACAAACTTGAGCAGTGTTAATGTATAGCAAGTTCCTAGTACCTGGAAGCACTTCATATATGAAGGGCCTGACTGTATCATAGCCAACACTTCTACATGCTCATTATGTAGCAGAAAAGTGCTGCCTCCAAGCAACATTAATACTTTCCTTATGCCACATTAAGAGAATGTGATCCAGGGACTAAATTGTAACCGTACTATGAGTAGACTATTATATATAATAGTCTTCTTTTTAAATGTAGGTGTTCCTACAGAACAGTTTTAGGAGAAAAGACTGTTAATGTGTGGACACTAATTGACCTCATTAATATTGACATGATTTTACCTAAGCATAGCTTCACTAACTACAGCCTGATGCATTTAAAATATGTGCTATTATTTTATCCAATGTTTCAGATAAATAACTCTAGCCTAAGAAGATCTATGTATTTCCAAAGGAGGAATTTTCCTGCCATATCACTTCCACAAAATGTACAAACATCAGTTTGGCTACATGGAATGCCTCAAAGAATGTTATATGTATTTATTTTTTTCTGTAGAGTACACGTTTGAATCCCAGGTTTAGTCTCCTTGGATTTTTATTCCTACCATGTTTGAAACAAAGTTGAAGAATAATTTTCTTATGGGAATTTGTGAATAAAATTTGCTTCTTAAATACCTATATGTCCATGGATATGGACTCTTTTTAATTAATAGACTAATTTTAGGGCATTTTTAGGTTTACAGAAATTTGAGTTGATAGTACACTGTTCCCATATATCCCTTCCCATCCCATTCACAGTTTCCGTATTGTTAACAGGTTGCATTAATGTGGTATATTTGTTACAATTAATGGACCAATATTGATATATTATTACTATCTAAAGTCCATAGTTTACTTTAGGGTTCACTTTTTGGGTTGTATAGTTCTGTGGGTCTTGAAAAATCCATAATATCGGTATTCACCATTATGGTATCACAGAATAGTTTCACTGCCCTAAAATTCCTCTTTACTCCATCTGTCCAACCGTTGTGCTCCCACCCTAGCACAAACCTCTAGAAACCACTGCTTCTTCTTATTATTATTCTTATTCTTAGTTTTACCTATTAAAAACATGAATATATTTTTAAGTTTTCACAGATACGCAAAGCAACTTGTATATAGACTTCCCATTTTCTATAAGTGAGGGAGCTCAGTAACAGTTCAGAATACATATAAACCACATTAGTTTCATTACTACTCCATTGGTGGAAGCCCAACCTATAGAAAGGCTGATTGCATTTTTATAAAGCATCTAATCCATATGCTCTCCATTCAAATTACACCCTAAATTTTAATCTGTACTGCTTTAAAAAAATGCAGATATACAGAAGTACAACACATCCTTAACAAGTCTCACTTTTAAAAAATTTTTTCCAAGATTCCTTGTTTTACCTCTTTAATTCACCTATAATCAGGGCCAGTGGTTAGACAGTATTCCCCAGTGTGGTTATTTGCAGCAGGATGTTGATGCTGATTAGTATTCTCCCCATACTGGTTGTAAAATACATATTTTTATATTACCCTGCCTATATCAAATGAGAGAAGTGTTCTGTAAACTAAAGTGCTGTATAAATATTAGTTAATGTAATAATATGCCCATTAAATTGTACATGTAGCCAGGAGGCTGGCTATCCATTTCTTCATTCCTTGAAGAAAAGCTGACCTCGGCTAAATTCATACGAATACCAATTGCTCCAAATCATTGCACAGGCTGTGTAGGTGAGGAGCAACCATAAAAAATTATGATAATGAGAGGAAGAAATATCAATGGAAAGTATGTCATAAGATTTCATTACTCAAAAATGCATGCCCTATGTTCCCACTACATTTCTCACTGTTAATCTCTTTTTAGTTTTTTCTTCTTCACCTCTTACAGGCTTCTATCTTCAATCTCCTTTCCTTCCTTGCTAGTTCAAACTGTAACTGACGATGGGTTTTCTTCTCGACTGGCTTCATTTTTGCTGTTCTTCCAGGAGAAAAATCTATTACCTGCCCCGCCGGTACAAGTTCATGAGCAGGTTAGTAGTATGCTCTGTCATGATGTGTTTGATATGTTGGCCTGTTTGTTCCAACAATGACAAGGAATACAAGCTGGGGAGGATGGGCCTTTGTCCCATGGCAAAACTGGCTGCCATGCACAATCCAAAAATAGCTATTTCAGGTTAGCCTGAAAAGAAAAATGCAAAGATGGAAATGTTTCTCTAAGAATCTTCCTTGTGGTTTCTCCACACTTGGAAGGACAGAATTTATCTGCAGGTGTGTTGGGGCTGTTTTTTGTTTTTAGCCCATTCTATTAGATAAATTACCAAAAAACCCAGCTGTTCAGCACATCTTTGGTCTGAATGTTATTTTCTCCACACAAATCCCACCCTCCACCATAAGTAACTTGAAATCTTGAAGTGCAGACAGATAACATCTCAAAAAGCTGATAGCTGTCTAGCCCCCAATTTGGGTGGGACCCTCCTATATTAGTAACATTTTGTTAATAAAATATGCAGATGTATTACCTTACCAGAAGCCCTTCCTACCTTTTTTTTTAAAACCTCCCCCACCCACCCAAAATTCTACTGGCTAAAGATTGCCTTTAATGTACAGCGTATCCTTCTAAAGTTTGTTTCTCGATTTTTGAGAAGCCACGGAGAAAGGGGGAAGCATCAATGATGTCCTTTAATTCAATTCTGTTGTGATCACTGGAAATCTAATTTTAAAATTTTAATTGGTCTGATGTGATCATTTACCCTGAGCTGAGCTGATGGTTCAATTTGGAGACCATTACATTTCTCTGAAAATCCTATTGTTCAGTTCTGTGAGAATTAAGATTCAAGTTTACTCTGTTTATGTGTTATGCAGAATGATGAGTGTAAGAGTAATTGACAAATTCTAGTGGATTTACTCAAATACATGTACCCTCAAAATATGATATAAGAATTGACATCCAAAGAAACTAAGATGTGTTTTCTAAAAATTTCCCTGCACAATATCCTTACTAGCAATTCTCCTTTGTTTAGACAACAGCCATGACATTTGGATTCACCATGGTTTAGATTAGTCCCTTGTCGTATGATGACCTTCTATAAAACCCTGAGGTAACACATTAGCCTATATCAGTAGTCCTCAACAGTTTTCAAACTTTAACCAGCATCAGAATAACCTGGAGGACTTATTAAAACACAAGATTGTTGGACCTGTGCTCTAATCTATGATGTAGATATCCATCTCTCCACCTGGATGCTATGTGAAGGCAAGGATGGCTTGTCCAACTCTATATTTCCAGCACCTAGCACATAGTAGGTGGGGTGAATGGGCAAATGAATCTCTACACATGTGAGAAGATTTGAGTGAGGAAAAAGGAGGTCACATAGAAAAGCATAGAGAAATCAGGGGTGCCCAAAGTGTCAGACACAGACTTGGAACTGAAACATTTGCTGTCACTATGAGGGAGGGGTGAGCAATGAGGGCTTAAAAGAAAATGGTGGTAAAAGGAACCATAAATCTCAGGGTTGGGTTGGACATCAGATGTCATCAAGTCCAGCCATTCAACAGATACCCGAACCTCTGCTAAATGGTCAACCATCCATGTTTGAACATCTGTGGAGACAGGGAATTTCAGAACGGCGCCTGACTTTTAGGAAATTCTTCCTTAAAATAAGCCATAATCTCTCTGTCTCTTCAGCTTTTACTCCAAAGAACATTCAGATTGTAGTTCTCCCTGGATAGATGAAAAATAATCTACAGAGCAAAAAGGCAAAGTGTATGAGAAGGATTATGAAATTATAGGCAAAAGAACTTAGCAAATATTTGGAAATTGAGAGATGGGGGAGAGAAAGGTTTCTATATCTAAGGGATTGGGAAAATGTTAAAGGTAAAAGGAGAATGGAAAGTCAGAAGAGGTACAGGTATGGTGAGAAAGATGATTTTTGTTTTAATAATTCTTTATTATAACTCACAAGTAGGTCTTTGACACATAGGTGTCCCGAAGGCCTCTGGAAATGATGGCAAAGCAATTGAAACTGGAAGTAAGACTAGAGAATCCAATTTGGGAGTCAGAAGTATAGAAGTCATGTCTTGAGCCAGAGGAGTGGATGGAGGTCCCCAGGGAAGAATGTAAAGTGCAAAAAGAGAGCCAATGGCAATTCCTTGGAAAATCTTGTTAAGGAGGCAGGAAGAGATGGAAGGAAGGAAGATGAAAAAGAATAATTTAAGAAGGAGGCAACCTAAGGGAGGACAGTGTCAAAGGGACCAGGAAAGAGTTCCCATAAGAATGGGTGTTCTTCAGCTTCTGATGGAGGCTGAGAGATGAGAATCAATTTTTAATATTTAGAAGTTAGGGAAAACTGCCATGATAGCAGTCTCCATGAGTGGTGGTTCTCAAAGTTGAGTGGACCTCAGGATTACCTTCAGGATTTTTTAGTACTCAGATTATCCAGCCCATCCCTGGAGTTTCTGAGGTGAGGCACAATATTTTGCTCCTCTCTCAAGATCCTAAGTGATGCTAATGTGGCTGATCTGGGACTACATTTTGAGAATGACAGCCACGGAGAGGAGGGTAACAGACCCAAATTACAGCTGGTGGAGAATGGAAGGCCCTGATGAATCAGAGGCAGTGAGAGTTCACCACTACTTTGATAAATTTTGAGATAGAGGAAAATAGAGAAGGGACAGGCTTAACCAACTGAGCCACCCAGGCGCCCGAGAAGGGACAGGCTTAAGAACAGTAGCCAAGAGGAAGGAAGCAGAGGAGAGGAGACTGTGACAAGTGACCAATCACATATTCTCCATGTGTGCAGCAGAGAGGTTTTAAGTGAGTAAGAGTTTGGGAAATCCTTGTTTCTTGAACTGAAAGAACAACTTACTGAACAGTAAACTTTGGCCTGAAAAAGTTAGTGCTACTTCAAGTGCATAAATCATAATTATAAAAGGATATAACTGGAAGACTCAGTTATATATAACTGGAAGACTCAGACAAAGTGAAGGGAAAAGAAATCCTAACTAACTGTCGTAGTATGACACATTGATTCAGAATGCCTTCTAAGACAAGCTTCACTGCTTACCACATCACTGTAGTGGTGTACCTTAGTGAAGCCCAATGTCTGGTGTCATTTTTAAAGTGCATTTTGTCAGAAATTTTGGTAACTATTTTAACTCTTGTTTCACCTCAGATCAGATTTAGACAATGGAGAGTATCTCTTTGTAGCCAGCTCTGATATGCCAAGTTGAAGGGCACATCTACATCTGGCTATCCTGGTTGTCCACCAGTAATAAAACATTGACTCAGTATTCTAAAATTCTCATGTCATACTAAATATGGATATTTAATTTAGCTTTTAGTTTCATCCACATAAATGATAATTTCATTACTTTGCAAAAGCATCCCTGAAACAACCTTATCTCCTTTAATGCCAAGGGAAATGATTTTATGATGTTTCTGAGCAGGCAGAGAGAAAAAGCATCTTTTCACAAATATCTTTATTTTTGAAAATCACCTGACTCTCATAAAACACACTCATGTAGTTTAGACTTATATTCTTCGAGTAAATGCTATTTTCATCATGTACTTGGTCTAATAAATGCTCCTTTGACTCTTTGGGCAGACTTATAGGCCTTATAAATTGTCTATTCAATAAAGAGAGGGAGTTTATCATCTGTCTTCTGCCTTTTTCTTTTTTTTGCGTTTGCCAAATACTGCAAATATAGTCTGTAGAAGATGTGATTACAAAGGAACAAATTTGATTATGGTCAGTGGCTTGTAGCTGAAGTCTCATTACTACTCATTCCTTTTCCATCTACTCCCCCATGCATACCTGCCTGATGTTATCCTTTGCAGTCATTTGGCAGAATGTCTGCTGCCCCTGCTACATTATACTTTCAGTGCAGTTGCAGTCTTATCAGTTGAGTATACAGACAAATGACAAAATGACTTGTATTTTCCATCCTAGTTTTAAAAAACTAACATATGTAAATGTTCCAAAGACTTTGGACTCTTCTGTGAGATATTTAGGTTGTGCCCCAGTTAGTAGCCTTGTGACCTAAAAGAATCCTAACTCCTGTCCAAGGAGAGGCTATAAATATAGGAGACTTGGCTCTCAGAAGAGGAAAAAGAAATCCAAGGCTCCTGCTGTCTAACTGTTATCAGTCCAGGAGGGCTTCATTTATTGCAATGTAGGGCTCTGTGTGGTGCGTCCATTTAAAAAAAAAAAAAAGAAAGAAAGAAAAGTTTATCTGTAGGTTCCCTCTAGGTATATCATCCCTAAAAATGTAATCTGTTTGAAATGTGATGCTATTATTATAATATTCTGGTCTGGGGAAAACCAGGTGTCTCTGAAGTAGCCTATTTCATTTCATTTAGCCTGATTAAGTTGTCATTAGTACAAACTCCCTCCTGGGTTGTTAGTGGCTCAAGAGAAAGGCCTTGGTCTTCTTCAGGGTATACCCACAGCATCCAGGTTGGGGCTCTGCCCACAGTAGGTACTTTATAAAGGCCTACTGATGGCTTAGCATGTGGGGAGTGAAGTCCTTTGGTTTGTGGCCTTTTCTTTAGTTATCACCACTTTAATTATCACTACCCACTAAGGTGGATAGTATAGTCTCCTCTTTGCAGCCGAGGGAACCAAGGATCAAATAGGTTCAAGCAGAACCTTCCCAAAGCACATTTCCAAGACACAGCTTGCAGTATGTGCCCATTCACCTGTCCTGTGCTGGCAGCTCTTTCCAGTCACTCATGACATGGACCTCCCATGAACCAGAGCTTGGCGGGGAAACACAACACTGAACTTACTGTAATAACAACTTTCTATAAAAATACCCACCTTTTAGTCCAGATATTAGCTTGACAAGTTAAGGCCAGAAATGCGCAAGTGGATGGTTGATCCATTATCTCTTTATTGATTTGCCTATGTAGTCTATAAGAGGGCTTTTGCTCAATAAATGGCAGAAATGGAACAAAATGATAATGTGTCCAACCAAAATCAATACTAAATCATTAAGCCAACATTTTCTCTTTGCTTTTCCCAGTCAGTGAAGACTATTAAGTAAGCCCAACTCCTATACTTACGAGACAAATTGGATACTTTTAGTTAGCTGGTTCCTCAACTCATATATCTAAGAGAATTTCAGGATTACCTCTTTAGGGAAGTTTCTTAGTTGAAGATGGAAGCACAGACCTCAATATACAAGTTGCGAACCTATTTCAACTTCAGAGTCCATCATTCTGTATGAAAGGTTATCTATTATACTGTGAAAAAGAAAGCTCTTTATTCATTCACGTTTGTTTAGAATATAGCCAAGATACTATTGCCCACATCACCAGCAACATGTAGTATCTAAAAAACAGCAGAATCAGAAACCCCACTTGGGTCTGGCGCTTTCCAGCCTGGTGGCTTTTGCACTGTGTTTTTACTTGCACTGTGGAAGAGGATCCTCAGTGATGCCTAAGTAGCAAGTTTGGGATGGGAGTGTTTGTTGAAGAGTGGCCAGTTGTCATCCAGCCACAGAGACACGGATCCTTGTTCCCAGAGCCACCGGACTGGCAGGTAGAGTAGCATGTGGAGTGTTAGCCTCAGCACTGGGAGCCTGACCAGCCATGGCCAGGTCTGAAGGGGAAGATCAGATCAAGACTGTTTTCAGAGATCTATTAATTTCCTATTGCTGTTGTAACAGATTCCTGCAAACTTAGCTGCATAAAACAACACAGATTTATTGTTTTACAATTCTGCAGGTCCGTAGTCCAGGGGAGGAGACTTAACTGATTTCTCTGCTCAGGGTCTCTCAAGGCTAACATCAAGGTGTTGGTTGGCCTAGGCTCTTCTTGAGGCCATGAGGGAGAATAATCTTCAGGCTTGTTCAGGTTGCTGGCACAATTCAGTTCTGTGCAGTTTCTGTAGGATTCTTAGATGAAAGTCATTCTCAGCTTCTAGAGGCTGCCTGCACTCCCTGGCTGCTGGCCCTCTTCATCTTCAAAGCCAGCAATGGCCAGTTGAGTCCTTCTCACACTTTGAATCTCTCTGACACCCCCCTCTGCCTCATCTTTGCTATCTCTAGCCAGAGAAAATTCTCTTCTTTTATTTTTCTATTTAAAATCAATTTAATTAACATACAGTATATTATTAGTTTCAGAGGTAGAATTTAGTGATTCATCAGTTGCATATAACGCCCAGAGCTCCTTTATATCAAGTGCCGTCCTTAATACCCATCACCCAGTGATGCATTTCTGGTCTTAACCTGTCAAGCTAATATCTGGACTAAAAGGTGGGTATTTTTATAGAAAGTTGTTATTACAGTAAGTTTAGTGTCTTGTTCCCCCTGCCTCGCCAAGCTCTGGTTCATGGCGGGTCATGTCATCCCACCACCCAACCCCCCCTCCAGCAACCTGTTTGTTTCCTAGAGTTAAGAGTCTCTTATAGTTTGTCTCCCTCTCTGATTTCATCTTATTTTATTTTTCCTTCCCTTCCCCTATGTTCATCTGTTTTGTTTCTTAAATTCCACATGAGTGAAATCATATATCTGTCTTTCTCTGACTGACTTACTTCGCTTAGCTAGAGGGTAATATGCTAAACAAAGTTCTCTCCTTTTAAATGGCTCATATGATTAAGTTGGGTCCACCTGAGTAATCCAGTATGCTCTCCCTTTCTAAAGGTCCATAACTTTGCTTACAGTCCCTTTGCCATGTCACATGACATATTCACAGGTTCCAGTGATTAGGGTACACACATCTTTCAGGAACCATTCTGCCCAGAAGAGGGTACAAACCGCTGACCACATTTGAGTGTTTGTTTCTGTCATTTTGAAGAGCACACAGCATGGACCAGCATGTGTGATAGAACCTGTACAGTCCATGTTTTGTCTTCCTGCTTCTGCTCATGCTACCCCACTGAAGGCCAGTTTACCCACCCCCACCCCAGTGTCTCAGGGGTTTTGTTTTTAAGATATCCTTTGAATATCTTTAGTCCACCACAGAGTTTTAAAAGCCCAGTTCCTCTGCTTTCCATCACTTTTATATTAGCCTCCCTGGTCCTTAAGTTACTAATAACACTATTTGCCTGGCAGCTTCTCCAAAGCATTGCATGCACAGCATCCTTTGGAAGCACAGGCTTCCTGACAACCCTGCAAGGTCAGGGTCAGTAAGATGGTGATGATGATGATTAGCCCATTTTAAAATAAGGCTTAAGAAGGTGAGTGATTCATGGAAGGTCAGACAGCTGATAAGCAACAGAACCAGGATTTAGGCACCCCAGTTTACATCCCAGCTTCTTTTAGGAGCCTCCCTTCTCTCCATTCCACTTCTGGCCCCTCCTCATTTTTCAGTGAATCATTTTCATTACACCGTTCCACTCTCTCTTCACCACCTCCACATTTCATTTAAATTGTGATGCTACAAGCTGTTGCTGAAAGCTGCCATTTCATTCCCATAGAGTATTGATGTCTGCTATTTCACAGCTTTATTTGTTTTTATCCATGCTGAGCACTGTACCCAGCTGGATTTAATTCATAGTCGAGCCCAGATTCTGTAAGAATGTGAACTTTGCGAAGTGTAATCCGATTAGTGCCGCAGACTGGAGATGTGTGGGAGGTAAAAGCTCTATTATGAAAAGCCTGTGGGCCAATGTCCTCTTTCTTGAATGAGTTTAAAGGCAATCAGATGAAATAAAGCCAGGAGTTAGGGGAAGGCCACCAGCTTAGCCTAGGAAGTATAATTTATGAGTCCATTTAAGGACTAAATCATTGAACTTGGACAAGTTGTAGATGCTGATGAAGCACAATTAACTTTGAATTGGAAAGAAAGACAGAATGTTAAGGGGCAAGCTGGGTGCTCAAATTCTTATTTTGGGGGAAAAAAAAGATTGTAATAATAGCCAGTACCTAGTGTACACCAGATACTCTTCTGGAGATTTTATGTACATATTGATTAATCACCACAACCCTATGTACTGAGTATTATTATCATGTCCACTTTATAGATAAGGAAATTAAGGCACAGCAAAGTTAGATAACTTGCCCCAGGTCACATTGCTAATATTTACAGAGCCAGGATTTGAATCCAGGTACTGCAACCCCATGTTCTCAATCACTATATGTTCTACTGTGTCTCTCATGTGCATTATGTTACTTTTAAGTGTCTTTAAAGAGTGATGAGGGAGGAGAGGACCAGGAGGAAGGATGGAGGGGATAGGAACTGTCCCCCCCCACTTTGGACCCTTCCAATGTACTATTCTCTTCTGGGAACATGACCTTGAGTAGCATCTTTATTTGTGTGTGTGTATGTGGTAGGTACGAGTTGTCTTTGAGAGAAAGGGCCTAGAGAAGTTGTGAGATTCTTTCTACTTTGAACTTTCAGGGGTTCTGAAGAAAGGCCAGCCACCACTAGGCAGGAGGAGGTTGTGGTGAGACTGGAGCCCTGCAGAGAATAAAAGAGGTGGTAAAAGAGTTAACTATTATTTTTCATCTTGGAGCTGATTGGTTATGGAAAAAGTAATTCCTTCACCTGGAAGTTTCATTGAAAAGGACAAATTGCCATGTAAATATTTTTTGATTTGGAAAAAAAAATCCTGCCCAAATTCCATGTGTAATTAATAGACCTAGAAGGCATTTAGATATTTTCTTCATTAGAGGAATCCGTCCCTTCTGTAGCCCTTAAGTGAAGATTTCCATTATCAACTACTTTGATAAGGTGATCCCTAAAATCAAGAGTCCAAAACCTGCATTCTGTTCCTGGTTTTATTCACTGGCTGGGTAATTTGAGCTGGATACCTTCCCATGGGTCTCTTCTGTGATGTGTAAAATGAGTATGGTACCTGTTCATTCTGCCTCACAGAAATGCTACTTGATATGTGCTCTTAGAAGATACTTTCTTCAGTGGGTATAGATAACTGAGGTAGCACAGTTGTTTTCAAGTGTGCTGTGCATTTTGCTCCTTCTAGTGGTTTTCGGTGAATGACTGACAACCTGGTCACTTGGAAGCCAGATGTTTTCATCAGCAGAAGCCAGAGGGAATCGGGAGGGGGGTAGGGGAAAACTGTGGCTTGTAAACCACCCTAACAACACTGTTGTTTTCTGTGACTTGGCATCATTGTGCACCCTGGCCAGAGTGACATATGTGTTATCATGCCCCTGTACCTTGACCATGGAGTCAGCTTGAAAGACAGAATGAAAGCTGAACAGCCTGCTGTCTTCTGAGAGGCAGCTCAGGGAAGATGTGAGAGGCAGGAAGCAAATCACGACATCACGCTCTGTGCACACAGGCAACCCACTGGGATTGCTGTCAGCTGCCCTGCTGAAAGTTAACTACAGCCAGAGCACTTCCCTAACCAAGGGAAGATGGGGAAATTTTCCAAATACAAAATGAGTTTCTAGAACCTGCAGAATGTAAGAAGTTAAGGTACTCTGCTGCTTTGCTTAAGGGGCTGTCTACTTCCTTTCCAGAGCCTTCCAGCCTTGGTCATTTATTGGCATGTGGGGGAACATATAATTCTTGGCCACTATTTCATAGACAATGATATTGAGGACCTGTGATGAGATCGAAAAAACACTGGAGTTGAGGCGCTCTTCTTTCTGTCTGTAAAATGGGGGTATCATGTACTCATGTACAGTGAGAGTGCCTGGAGTGTGTGGTGTCATAATTATGGCTCTGTGGAGACTTCCCTCCTGTGTTTTGGGGCAATGCTGACATGCTGTACCCTTTGGTCTTGCCTTTCATGTACCACAGGATCGATAAACAAATAAGCAGGTTTCGGAGATGGTTACCTAAGAAGCCCATGAGGCTGGACAAGGAGACACTGCCAGACCTGGAGGAGAATGACTGCTACACTGCCCCTTTCAGCCAGCAAAGGATCCACCAGTGAGTGTTTCGTGTGAAAGCCTTTGTCTTACTAAGGACATGCAGCTGTGGTAGAGCCTTCTCCTGCACACCTTTGAGTCCTTGGCATGTGGAAGGAACAGCTTAGTGCCTTTCTTCCCTGAAAGTCCTGTGAGTGTTCATATCCCTTTTGTATTAGGGTAAGCTAACTGTTCTAACAAACAATCCCCATATCTCAGTGGCTTGACATAGTAGAACATGCGTTCATATGTGTGTTGGGTGAACGACCTTCTCCATGGTGATTCAGAGACCCAGGATCCTTCTATTTGGTGGCTCTGCCAGTCCCCGTGCTCAGAGCCCCTGTAGGCTCATCAGCATATACCGACATGACGGGAAATTGGTTTACCCCTGGCCCTATTGAAAAGAGGGGTCGTTGGTTTGTTTTAATCAATCTCTGTTCACTTCTCAGTTCCCTTTTCTTCAGCAACTCAGCAAGTTCCCCCAAGAAAAGCCATATCCCTGAGTAGCCCGCTTGCTGGCTCTCCATCAGACAGTCTCTGAACAGTAATTTCTCACTTTTGACATGCAGGGGGAAAGCTTGGCTAAGTAATTGAGCCTTTGAGGAATTGCAAAAGTGATAGGGAATTGACTCTGAAGCTTTTGAGATGACAAGAAATTGGGATGGGGGGAACCAGTGGTAGGAAAGAAAAGCATGCCAAAGACTGTAAACAACTAGGCAAAAACAGCCTCTCAAAGGGCAAATAAATAAGTTTGGCCCAGCCTTGCTCTCAGCCAGACTTCCAGAATTCCTGGCTCTCCCCGCTCCAGCCATAGAGACGGCCTCAGTAAAATGGACTTCCTCAAGGGGAGGAAGAGGGTAACAGATTTTTTGAAAAAAAAAAAAAAAAATAGGTTGTTAACTTTGAGAAAAAAGTAAACCAAATGGCAAACATCAGGTTGCAGGGAATGTACGGTTGGGGGCATGTTTCAGCACAGAAAATCAGTTAATGTCTTTGGACTTCTAGAAGATGAAAAAGAAAAGAAAAATCAAAGAGTAGATGTTCTGCATCAAAATATATAATAATATATAATATATAATGTATAATGCAAGGGAAACAACTTTATAAGCCTCTAAAATAGCCAAACTCTGGATCCCCACAAGTCAGATTGATGCCAACCCAGCCACATTATGTGAAAATTTAAATGGGTTATTGAAAAAGGCATGAAACTCACAGCCTGGCCTCAAAATCCTAGTTATATCCTCTGCAGGAAATAAGAAATGAAAAGGGTTTCATGTTAACTCAAAGATCAAGACCTATGGGTGTTTTTTAAGAGAAAAAGACAGATGAAAGCTGACATGTTCCTGCTCTTAACTTAAACCTTTGCTATGCCTGTGTTGTTTATCTTGAAGTTTCTTAGACAAGTGATTGTATGTTTTAAATTATTCCGGAGTAGAGTCTGATTTACATACAGAATTTTCCCTTTGCTTCTCAACTGCCTGAGAATACCTAGCACAGTGCAGGAGCATCTCATAATTTTCAGATGGTTAGATACATGAATGGATAAGTAGGTGGCTAGAAGCATCAATGAGATATAGGGTATGTGCCTGGGGTTTTGCTTTACTTCAAATGGATGTAGGTAAATAGAAGAGGAAGGTTTCCCACTACTCATCTTCATGCTAGTTACATTTCCTGATGTTCTTTCTTTCTTTAGAACAAATTTTTTAGCAGGGCTCTCAAAGTCAGAAGCACCTGGGCACCCAGCAGGTTCTCTAGGGAATAGAATCAAGATTCATATCTTTATAAGTATTTTAAAATATATAATAAATGAGAGATGATAGCCTGTGGGATCACGGAGGTACCCAGCCACCTCTATTACAAATTTGAGAGGCCTTTTTTGATATGTTGGGCATTGGTTCACTGAATAATTCATTCAGCAGTCTCTGATTTGATGTCTACTTCTTGCCAGGCACTGTCTGGGTGCAGAGGATATAAAGATAAATAATACACAGTCTTTACCCCAGCCTAGTAAAGACAGAAGGACCATTTTAAATAATTGTGCACAATATAATGGGTGCTACTTAAAAGAAAGAGGGCTCCATACTGCAGATTTTGAGGGAGGTTCTAAAAAATAAGAATTGAACACACACAAAAATGGTGGAGATGGGTCTTGAAGGATAACACTTGTCCAGGTAGGTAGTAGGGGGAAGAGATCTCAAGAAAGAATAATTTGTGTATAAAGTATATGGGCATGGGGCACCTGGATGGCTCAGTTGGCTAAGTGTCCCACTCTTGATTTTGGCTCAGGTCATGATCTCAGAGTCGTGAGATCAAGTCCTGCATCAGGCTCCCCACTGGGCATGGAGCCTGCTTGAGATTCTCTCTCTCTTTCTCCCTCTGCCCCTCTCCACCCTCTCTCTCTAAAAAAAGGAAAAAAAAGTATACGGGCATGAAACAGAATGGAGTGTCTGAAGAACTACAAGTAGTTTTCTGTGAATGGGCACAGGGTGTGAGAAAACCTGGCATTATTGTTTGAAAAAGGAGTGATCAATGAAGATGAGCTTTTCAGACAGGAGAACCAAGGAGGAAAAAGCAGAGGAATAGCTGGAAGGAAGGAAACCTAAGAATCAGGCCTCAGTGGCATCAAGAGGGTCGTTTAGGCAGTTCCATCATGCAGTTGGGTGATGAAAAATTAAGCGGGGCTTGAACATCATGGGCAGTGGGGATTTCTTTCTCTTTGAAAATTGTCATGCCGCATGGACAACATCCCTTTAATGAATGTGTAGAAGTAAGACTTGAGGAGTGCTGGCTGTCCAGTTGGAAATGATTGGTATAATAAAAAAAAAAAAAATTCCCTAAAGATGGATGCTTCCTTAAGGTGACACTAATGGGTTTAAAGTAATCAGAAGTAACTTGTTAATGTGCTCTAGGGCTTAATAATATGATTTCCTGGTTGTCCAAATGCAGTCCAAAATCCCATGTGACTTCTTGGTTTTGCAGAATATTTGATATTGTGTTTGTCTAGGAATAAAAGAGAATAATAGATTGTGTGTGTGTGTGTGTACACATGAATGTAGTGGAAAAAGAGAAAATTAGGAGTTTAATAAATAATGATCAAAATGGAAAAGAAGTCTTAAAAATACTTTGTGCTCAGGATAAAGCCCAGAGTCCTAAGCTGGCTCACTAGCTCCTGCTTCCCTTCCCTGTTGAGCACTTCATCCATAATGAACTGCTTTGACCTTTTTAACTCACAGAGCCCATTTGTCTCCTGTTGCATAGGGTCTTCCCTCTGCCTGGTGTACTCTTTCCCTTAGACTCCCTTCTTTCAGGTTTCATCAGAGGTGGTTCCTTCAGAAAACCTCCCAAGATTTCCAACTTTAGTTGTGCTTTTCAAAAACAACATTATGCATGCACTTGGGAGAATGGATTGGAGGTGGGCAAGGATAGAACCAGGGAGATTGGTTATATTACTTCTAGGTTTTAGAAATAAATTCTGGGTGAGGTGCATTCTTCTATATCTTGATAATACTTTTTTCTATCATAGCTCTTGATATAGAACCATATAGACAGTAAAGTTCTTGAAAGGCTATGTCTATGTCATCATTTTTGAATCTCATAGTTGGTGCTTAATAATGATTTGTTAAATGATAAATGAATAGATAAAAATGAAAATAGAATAATCATGTGAAGAAGGAATATAGAAGGTGTGAAGTTAGTTCACTGCACACTCCTCTCAGACCAAATTCAACCCATTCTCTCCTCCAGTGTGGTCCACTTCCATTGTCCCTGGTCTAGTAAATGGCACTAATATTTGTGCAGTTGTTGAAACCAGAGTCAGGAAGCTATTCTAGACCTCTCCTTCACCTCCACTTTCTGCATTCACTACATCGCCAAAGTCTGATGATTTTACAAGTTAAGTCTGTGTAACCTAACAACTTCTCTCAATGTCCACCATCATTATCTCACTTCTGAAACCTAGAAGTAATGTAACAGATCTCCCTGGTTCCCTTCCCCACCTCCAACCCATTCTCCCAAGTGCATACAGAATGATGTTTTTGAAATGCATTTCTAATCATGTCACTTAATCCTGTTTAAAAACCTTAGAATAAATACCAGAATTATTGAGATGACCTACAAGGCCTTAGATCAACTCCTCTCCAACCTTATCTGCCTTCACTGTGTTCCACCCTCCCTTCTTATGATCCAGACACATACAGCCTCTCTCATGTTCTTTGGATGCACTCTCCCTTAGGGAATTTGCACATGGTGTTTTCTCTCTTGGAATTCTCTTCCCATTTCTTTCCCCTTCCCCTTGTTTACTCTTATTCAGTCTTCAAAACCCAGCTCCAGAACTCTCCCCAGGGAAGCCCTCCTCTCCTCCTTCCAAAGACTAGTTCCCCTTGCTATATTCTCTTTAAGTCACATGTTTCCTATGTAACATTTTTTTTATTTGAAATTCTGTAACTTTGTAATTATTTGGGTATTATATGATTAATACTTAAACCCTCCAGGTAAACTAAACTCAATGGAGGCATATACCATATCTGGTTTTGCTCACAATTACATCTCTGATACTTAACACAATGCTCAATATTTGTCTATTAAATGAATGGAGTAAGGATGCGAGTAATAAAGAACATGGGATAATCTAATCATGAATCTGTATACTCTGAACTACATTGTACAAAAGATTAAAGTTGAGAATCAATTAAAAAACAAATAGCCTAGTCTTATATGCAAACAAAGAATCATGGAACACTACATCAAAAACTAATGATGTAATGTATGGTGATTAACATAACATAATAAAAAAAATAGCCTAGCATTCTATTTGAACATATATCTGTGTTTGAGAAGCAGTAGAGGCAAACCAGTGAGTATACATGTCTGCAAGTCCATATAGGATGTTATTGGTCATTTTATATGGTACCACCAAACACCTAGAGATAGGAAAGCTCTTACTAGATGCCAGACACTATTTTAAGAACATTAATCCTTACAACAACCCTATGAGAGAGGAGGTATTATTGTCACCATTTTGCA